CCTTCTTTGCAGACCCTTTCAACATGTCCAAACTGCTTGCACTTTCTGCATTGAACTCCAGGCCTAAACCAACAATATTTCTCGGAATGGCCTTTCTTTTTACAATGAGAGCAAGATGCATAGCTCTCCTTTTTGTTGTTTTGATACCCTTCCTTTTCTCGGTTTCTTTGATCACCGACCTGCTTGTTTTCATCATCTTTGGCTGCTGCTTTTCCTCTGTCAGTTGCCAAATATGCTCCTTCAACATTGTTTTCAAGCCTCAAAGCCTTTCTTTGCTCCACGGCTTGCAAAGCATTGACTAATTCATTCAAGGAGAATTGAGACAGATCTTTGGAATCCCCTAAGGATGAGATCTTGTGCTCAAATTTCTCCGGTAGACTCACCAAAACCTTCTCAACTACTGCCTTATCAGACAGTTCTTCCCCTTGCAATCTTATCTTGTTCACCACCTTCGTCAGTCGGTCGGAGAACTCCTTCACCGTCTCTGCATCCTTCATTCTAATGAGCGCGAACTCTCTTTTCAAATTGAGAACCTCCATTTGTCTTGCCTTGTTATCACCTTGGAACTCCACTCTCAGCTTGTCCCAGGCCTCTTTGGCTGTTTCACAAGTCATGATTCTGTTGAAAATTTCATCGGTCACTGCTGAGTGAAGGCAGGTCAAGGCTTTGTATCTCTTTGCCACCTCCTCTGAGTGCCTCTTAATTTGAGCAAGAGTAGCATTTGGAGGAAGAGGAGCTGGTTGCCGATCTATCTCAACCACTTCCCAAAGTTCGAAAGCCCTTAGATATGCTTTCATCTTCACTGCCCAAACTGTGTAGTTTTGGCCAGCAAAAACAGGGGTCTTTGCGGTGAAGCTGATGTTTGATTCCATTGCAATAAGGTTTAAGGTGTTGGTGTATTTGGGTTTCACTCCAATCTCTCACAGTCCCTTAAGAAGTCATGGCTCTGATACCATGTTGGTTTTTTAAAACAAAGAAATGGAGAGAGACATTGAAGAGCTGAAATCAAGTTTCCATTTCAGTTTTCCAGCATTTGTACACAGAGAGTTTAAATTTTGAAATTCAAAAAATACAAGCTAAGGAGCTCTTTTACAATAATATTTTATCATCAAAATAATACATATCATCACATGGCTCCCACTAGAAATATGACTTGAAAAGGACACAAAACAGTTTGGTTAGTTTCAGTTTAACCAAACTGAACTTGGGCGGCTTGATGGCACTGATATGCTGCTACTGCCACCTAAGCTGCTTCACGTAACTTCCTTCACTCCTCCTTGCCATCAAGGCTGCACATTCCAACTTGTTCTCTTAATAGCTCGAACCTGGATTTTTGCAAACCCTTTGTAAAATTGTCAGCTATCTGCCCCTCTGAATTGCAATAAACTAATTGAACTTCATTTTTGAATTTTTCTCCTAGAACCAGTGAATTATTAACAGCTTTGCAACTCTTCATAGCAAACTCCTCCTGCATTGTAATTCTCCCGGCCTTTGATCTTCTAGCTTCTAAATAATTTGCAAGTTCTTCAATGACCATGTTACACCTTTCATAGATGTCAGCTTGTGTTCTGGTCCCTCTAATAGCAAAAACATCATCAAATTCATCATCATTCTCCTGCTCAAATTCATCATTCCCAAAATCAAATATTGGTTCATCATTTGCTACAAGAACTTGATCTGCAGCAACAAATTTCGAACTTTCCCAGTTCCGAGTTGCACTTTCATCAAATTCCTCGCTTTTGCTCACATCAACAACACTAGCCTTTGGACTAATTTCAATTTGTTTCCATTGAATAGGAAAACTCCTTTCATTCATTCTAACAGTAAACATTTTTGAACCAGATTCATCTTCTACTTCACATATTTTGTCATGAAAATGAAGGACATAACCATGTTCAATCAACTGACCCACACTTATCAAGCTATAGTTAATATTAGGCACAAACAATACATCATGAATGTATTTGATACCTGTTTGTGTCTCAACAGCAACTACTCCCTTGCCTTTGACCTCCATCAATTCTCCATTTCCTAGTCTGACTTTTGAATTGTATTTTCTGTCAAGGCTTTTGAATATGGCTGCATTTGGGGTCATGTGGTTTGTACAACCACTATCAATCAACCAAGAGTC